TTTATCTCTCTGTTCCAGATTTATGAATCTCACTTCATACTTTTCTAAAGCTTGCTTCAACTTTACATTATCAGCTTTAACCTCGATATTCTCAGCCAAGAGTATAGCATTCTTCTCCCTAAGTTCAGAAATCTCAGCCAAAAGCCTTGAATTTGATTCTTTCAATGAATCGATTTTAGATTGGGTGTTCGACATTACTTTATATACAAGGTGCAGATTTATTCAAAACCTTTTTGTTATGCAGACGCCAGCGCATATGTGGTTTGCGAGTTTTAATTCTATAAAGCACTCTAAATTATGGTGTCCTTATTGCATAATAAACATGAAAACTTATGTCGTGAAGTCATAACTGAAATTCTTGGCCCACCCTCTGATATCCGCAAACCATATTTCTTGAAAACACTTTCACAAAAATGGGTAAGATTTCGAGAAACAATTAATACGTGATCAGCTCAAAAGGGAACTCTGCGATGAAAATTGGATCGTTCTTATCGAGGTATGGTATTACGAAGATCCACATATAGCCATTCGAAGAGTTAGGAATTATATGAATAGTACAAGTGATTGCACGAGATGGATTTTCCCGATTTTGATGAGTCATTGTAGCCATAATGGCGAGAGTTAAGCCTTACAATAAAGTAAATATATTTTTTGAGTTTTCGAGTGCCTAAAAAAAAACTAGGCTATTGACAGAATTGACGAGAAAAATAAATTTTGAGAATTGCTAACCGAGTCATTTTTTTTTGAAATCGCAAAGGTGGTTTTTTATTCATTCACAAAATATCTAAATTGCACAAAGCTAGCTAACTTGATAAATGATTACTTTGCTACATATTACAATGCTACCGTGACTTCTACATGCATATAGGAATTTATTGTCCTTGATAACGAAAAATTGCTTGCTGGATACTAAACAAATCGATGACTACGTTCCCTGCAAGCGGATACGGCGGATATGGAGTACAACCTTCATAAACACATTCTGGCGCAATTGTCACAGTAAGCATTCCCTGGGCTGAGCAACCATTATAAGGTCTTCGATGTCTATCAATGGTCCCAAATTCGTACTGTAAAAAACGAATGCATAAGGCGATTTTGTAAGTCAAACATGATGGGTCAACCAGCATAATTACACTGATTCCTACCGTTTTGACTGGCTGGAACCTTCCTTGTGCTTGAAGGCTTGCGCGACGACAAAACTTATAACACTATCAAGAATACAAGTCATTATATGAATGGAAAGAAATAAAATGAACTTACAAAGTAATACTAAACTGTTAAGCGACGCAATGGGCGCCCATTTGTATCCTTCCTACGATTCCATGGCCATAGTTTGAGTACTATCACATCTTCTGACCGGTTTGGTGCTAACCAGAACGAATTGGTTTTTTGGAGTATATGTGGAAGACTTTGGGATCGGGCAACCTCACAGACTACGGTTGGCCAAGGATTGCCCTAAAACAAAGATACTTGCTCATATTTTTGTGTTATGCGTTGTCAATACGATTAAAAGTGCATACCGGAGCATCACTTGGATGAGGAGATGGTATGGGTAAGCGATTTGGCACAAATGAAGCATCCGGTTGTCTAGCAGATCTTCGCCCTGAACCAAAACAAGCTGAATGCAACAGAATTAAATTCAACATAATTATATATATATAATCAAAAACATTAAAGGGTACATACTTGTCGCTCCAATACTAGAAACGCGGTCTTGAAATGATAGATTGGAAAAAGTAGACATAAATTGAAAAGCGAATTCTCCGTGTGCGACTTCATGATCACGGTTTGGCAACTCATATATGATCACAGCGCCATCATCAAACTCCCAAAATCTGCCCGCGTTTGAGATTTCACTTTTCTTTTCATATTCACGGTACGTTACATTTTCCATGAGACGCAAAGGCAGTCTAATAAGATAAGCAAAACCTTAGCATAGTCAATAGGAAATTGATTATACACAATGATTACTACCTTTCCTCATCGATACCATTATAATTTCCATCAACCCACCATTTTTTTTCTTTATCGCTAACTTTTTTGATAATGTTGACGTCTCCTAGATTGGCTTTGATAGCTTCGCTGCATTCCAAGAATGCCTCCTCATCTGCAGAACGTGAATGTGGAGTTGGAGCTCGAGACAAGGAGCCTGAAGAGGAGTCTGGAGTTGAGGAGTCTGGAGTGGAGGAACACAAAATCATTTTAGATTTCACGATATCCAATCAAATTTAACCAATATTCAAGGTTTAGCAAAATCACCTGACTAAAAATTTGCTGAAGAAATAATCGACTCACAGTTATTAGGGCGGCCGCGGCAATTTATTATATATGCCGAAATATACCCTTTATGGCTTTAAAATATGCCCGAAAAATTGCGAAAAAATGTAAAAAAATTCAAAAAATGCAAAAAAAGTTAAAAAAAAGTTAAAAAAAAGAGAAATTTTTATTATAAAATATAAAAAATTTAAAATGGAAATTGATTCCTCCGATAATGAACGACATTTGTCACTAAGAATATTTCTATAAGATGAAAAACTTCTTTCTACATCAACCCTCAATACTGGAAGCCAAATATACATTAATGCTATTTTGACAAATTTGAAAAATGATTTTTTTTCATTCCAGTATTTATTTAAATCTAATTTATTAACTTCTTCATAATCTTCATTTAATTCACAATAAATTTTCCATTCAAATAAAATAATGCTACTAGGATTTTTAAATTCTTTGATTTCACTATATCTTTGAATATTATAACTTGCTTGATTAACTTGTATAAATTGAGTATTAAAACATTGAATAGTTTTAAATAATAGTAATGCAGAATGATGGTCAATATGTTTTTTAAACTTATCTAATGCTAATTGAAAAGCTCTGCAAAATATTTCTTGAAATATTGATGAATTTACATTTAAAGAATTGAATTTGATATTCATTTCACTACTAATTGGAGATTGAATTGTACCTGGTTGTAAATAAGATTCAAGTAAATGTAATTTTGAAAACACAAGATATGCTATAAATTTGTTACAAATTTTAAAAAATTCTAAACTATTATAAAGACTATAATAATAAAAAAATAATTATTAGTTAATTGGTTAATTAATTAATTAAAATTATAATATAAATATCTTTTCTTTTTGCATTAAATGCAATAAATATTGTTAAAATTTTAAACATAAAACATTGATATTAATTCTTTAACTGTTTTGCTTTTATTATTTGTATTTTTTTCTTGAAGAAAAAAAACTTTCAAATAATGTAAATGTTTTTCTATCCAAAAAACAAAATTAAACCAAGAATTCTATCTAGTTTTTATAATAAAAGAAATAAAGTTGAATTATCAAAAAAGAAAAATGAATTTAAAAAAGAAATCTATCTTCTTTTACGAGAATTATTTTGAACAAAAGATGTTTTAATATTTTGAATGGCAATTTCTAATAATTTAAAATCATTAAATTCTATTCAGATATTACCCACCAAATTTAAAATATATGCAAAATAACAATTATGTTTTATTTAAGAAATTAAAGGAGATAAAACAGTAAAGCTTTTAACATATATGAAATATTATTTGAAATGAATAAAATAATATTTTCAAAAAAAATATCATAAAAATGAATAGTATACATAATTAATTGTGTAATAAATAAATTATCTATAATTACTAAATGTCCAGTTCTAACATGTTTTGTAAAATTTTTAAAACTAAACAAAATATTTACAGTAGCATACCCAAAACTATCAGTTGATTTATCAACAGTAATTAAAATTGCTTGATCTAGCAAAACAGGTTTTAAATTTTTTAATTCTATATTAAATACAATTGGTAAATATTTTTCTTAAAGTTGCAAAGATCTAATAATAGTATCTTTTATTTATAATAAAAATAAATTAGAAAAAATAATATAATATAACTTACTATTTTTACAATATTGAGACAAAAATGATTTAAGCTTATTAATTATCTCTAATGATATGTTTGCTTGAATGAATGCTCGAACTAGATCTACATTAATCATTTCACAATCACTTGCCAAATCAACTGAACCTGTAAGTGTAAGTTGATATATTCTTTATATAGTTTTTTTTTTATTATTTTAGTCTTTATAATAGTTTAGAATTTTTTAAAATTTGTAACAA